TTAAAAAAATTACCTCTTCAAAATCTTGGTGCATCTTATACTCCGGTGTGTCTTATAAAATAAATAAAAAGAATATGGTAAGCCAAAAGGCGCCATCTTGCTGCTGGTGAGACTGAAATTGGAAAAAGCAAAATATGTGTCAATCAGCTGTTCTTTCCAGCACTGAAAATGGTGAGAAGTATCAAGATTGCTGACATTCTGCAGTATAGCTCACTACTTTTCATGGTCAGTTGTTCGCAGACAACAGAAGAGCATAACGTTGAGGGCTTTCAAAGCACAAGGAGATGAAAATATATTCCTCCACTTTCTTATATACTGAGCTGAGCTAGGAAGGGTATGTATGAGAGACAGAGAAGACAAGAAAGTATAGATTTACAAATCAAGTTATGCAATTCATTACTGGCATGAAATCAGCCATTTTTTTCATCAGTAAATCATATTTAAGCAAGTTTTGGCTTGGTGCAGTGTGTGAATGAGATTAATGGTTGAATAAAAATGCTTTCTTTGTTTATTTGTGCAAATGTGTGCATGAGTGAGAAGGAGAGCACTACTATTTGAGATCCTGGCCTGCCTACTTGCCTACAGCCAGCGCATATAGTCTACAACCTGATATCCTCTGCCCTTATCTCTGTGTGAAAAAGGCATATATACTTGGCAAAAAATGGAAACTAATATCATACTTGTGCTGGTCTTTCATTGATATGCAATTTATGGTTCTAAGTGATTTGTTTCTACCCGTGGTTAGCCTTTTCTTTGCCCTGCCTGTGTTCCCTGATATCTAACAAACAGTGATTCTTTCACCTCTGAGACATTGTTCAGCCACTGAAGTCTGAAAGCAGTGAAGGGGCAGACAAGCTGACATATTCTTTTTTCTTTCTCTGTGACCCAGCATCTGAAGAGCTTTTGGTTTCTTTGTGCTAAATGGATTTCAATTGAGGGCATTAAAATCTCGATGAGCCTGTCAAATAAAAAGAAGCTATTTCTAAAGATAATTTTAATACTTTGAATATGGTTGCTCAAATTATTTTACATGCGTTCCCCTCCTACACAGATTAGTTCAAATGTAATACATGAATTATTCCTGAAGCATAGTGTCTGGGAATAAAAGAGAATGTTTGTAGCTCAAGGTTGAAACGAGGGGTCCTTGGTGCTCTCTGAGTTTAGTTGTTTTCTTGCGGATGTTTCATTCCCAAACTATATTTAATATCAATGCTGGTGATGTTACCTAGTTGGGTAATGAAACATCTGCAAGAAAGCATTCAACTTCAGAGAGTACTAAGGACCTCTCAGATTTATCTATATTATAGAACTGTCCATGGTGCTCAGGTATTCTAGTCATAGAAATTCATTCCTTCAATTTTTTAAAAATGCTTTTGAAATCTAATCTTAAAAGCCAGAAGTTGCTTATTTTAATCAGAGAACTGTCATAAGAACTGGGTGTTTTCAAATTGGGTTTTACATCAATAGGAAAAGCATGCAGCTTCCACTACTGTTAGAATAATCCACAGTCTATCTTCTATTAGTTACTTTAGTGATGACTTTTTCCCTGTGTCTTATAGAATTAAATGAACTTTTCCCTCCTCCTCCCCTTACATGTTATATTTTTTATAGCTGCAAGCCTGAAAAAGGACCTAAGCCCATTACCCAGTCTTTTAATTCTACAGGAACGTTGATTGCCCAAAAAAGAAATGGTAGGCGTAGATGATCTTCACATTTAAAATCAATTCATGGCACTCCCTCTTTTCTATTCCTGCAATTAAGTAATACAATCTTCAGTACACAGAAAAAGAAAAAGAAAAGAATGCAAGGAGGGATGTGCTCAGAAAAATTTATGAAACTCTTATTTTCTGAAATGTCTGAAAATGACATTAAGATTAAAAATATTTTACCCATAATTCATTCTTTCTCTCCTCTCTCTTTCATTCCCCTCCCATACTTTGGCTTATAAATAGATATCTCTTTCTTAGAATAAATAGAAAATGGTCCTCTGGGTGAAAAGAAAAGGAGAAATTGGAAAGGATTTCAGAAATCATTCAGTGGAAGGAATAGATGATATCCAAACACAATATAGTCAGTCAGTCAGTCAAAAAAACTAGTGTAGAAAAAAAAATTCAGGCCTCCTTGCTTTATTATGCTCTCTGCATGCACATCCTTTCTGAATTTTCACAAAAGTTTTTCACATTTCTTAGGCTTCCTGTCGCAAAGGATTTTAATGTTTGCAAGTTCCACAAGAGGTAGAGGCCAAATCCTGCTTACCACTCATAGTGAATGTTTTGCCAAATTCTACCCTGTAGGACAAAACTTCTTTTATCACATATTCTTCTGTCCCGAAAGAGGGAATGAAAGGTTCATGCTTTCTGATAGGAAAAGTTTATTTATCGTAAGAAAATAGTACCAATACAGACAGATGCCTCATCATCTGTTGAAATGTCCCTCTGGAATGAAATATTGAATATTGATGCCAAAGTTGTTTATATTGCTTCTTAACATCAGAAAACACAGGAACTCCTCCAAAGTTTAATTGTGTTTGTCTCTGGCTTTGTTTCCATTATTGATTTATTTTTATACACATTTCTCTTTGAGCTGTCCTTTCAGGCTCTTGAGCCAATTTGCTGTGAAGGAACTTTGCTGGACCCCAGTCCACATTGTTTTTTCAAGCTTTTTAAACCCCTTTTCAAGGGCAACTCTGATCTCCACAACTATTATTTTCAAATCTCCTATGGTGTCTCTTCCCTCAGCTGCTCCTACTTCCTCAGGTTTTCTTCCCTTCAAACCAAAGCCAATTTAGGCTTTTTAAATTGAAATTAAGACAAAATGGGCTTTCTATAAACAAGTATACATTCAGCTCAGTTTGTAATCATACCAGATAATCAATTTCTCATGTGGTGTCTGTTTAACATGACTGAGTTAGGTAAAAAGCATACATGTCTAGGTTTTCCTTCTACAGAAATCCTGAAAATGCTGATACCAGTAGTATTAGCCCAAATTAGAGGTGGTATGCTGCCAGTTTGCACCGGTTCGGGTGAACCGGTAGTAGTGGCAGCACAAGGCACCCACCATCCTGATATCATCATGGACCTTCTGCACATGCCCAGATGTGCACACTCCTGCTACCGAACAGGTAGTGAAGAGAATAGAATTCCATTACTGGTCCAAATGCATGCATATTGATTGCTATATTATGAACCTATGAATTGAGGAGTTCTCGATGATTACTATCTTCAGTTTCTTCTTAAAGAATTACCTTTGCAAAAAGAAGAGGAAAGGCAGCTTATTGGCTAAAATTCTTTAAAAGATTGTGATAGTAAGCTAGAAGGAAAACTATGTACATCAGCCATCTGCCATTCCTCCTGATTCTTGGCCATACTGATTTGTGATGATGAAATCCAGGGGCATCTGAAAAGCAGAGCATATTTTGACAACCTCAGTATGAAATTGTTTGCTATGTAAATAAGATTTCTCTAAAAGATATTCTACCTTTCCTTTGCCTTCTCTAATGAATGTGCAGCCCCTTCTCTTCTGACCAAAATTGTTTCAGTAAATACATGATGGAGAAAAAGCCTCAGGGGCAGGTTTGAACTGATATAATCAGACATCATGGAGTTGTGTCTCCATGCAATAAGGTGCGATAAGCATGATATATCCTACATTCTGTTTTGTAAGCTGCCTGGTAAGGCAGTAACAGTGTCAAACTAAGATTACTCTCAAAATGCTGAGAAAGAAATATTCCTAGTGAAATAAGAATTCTTGGCAAATAACTTCAGGGCATATGTGACACCGTAGGACAGTGGTTTTCAACATTTTTCATCTCATGTCACATTAACAAGTGCTAAAATTGTCAAGGCACACCATATGTTTTAAAAGATCTCATTAAAAAAACCAAGTCTTATGATTGTGCTTAACATTCAATAATTAAAAGTAAATTTGTGAGAAATCTGTGCTTGGTGTGATGTTTCATGATGTCCTTTGTCCAAAGATGGATGGTTGACAAGCATATCTGAAGTCCTTCTCTAGTGTTTGAAGTCACAATCTGTTATTGCTCTTTATTGTGTCATAACTGGAAACCAGCCTCACATAGATAAGATGCTGAAAAAGGAACAAATGTTTTAATTGCCATCTTTGTGATGACAAAATATTCTTCAGGAGGAAAAATAGAGGCAATCCACTCTTGGTGATGGTAGAGGTGGGGTTGACTTCCCATCGTTTACTTGTTACTCACAAACAATGTAGTACATCTCCAGGCTTTTGTGACACACAAATGTGCTGTGGGACTACAGTGGTTGAAAACTGATATCTTAGGACAGTGATGACTAATCTTTTCCAGACCAAATACCCAAAACGCACGAACCCTCACCTACCCTGTGTTATATATCAATTATCTGATACATAATTTCCACCGAATTTATGCTAATTTTTTCTTCTAAATTTTTTCTAATTTTTAATATTCTTTTAGGAATTGGAATAATCAAAAATCAACAAATATCCAAAATAAGATTTTTTATATATATATAGAAGACAGCAGAACCTAAAAATCCTGCCTGAGTTTTTCAAAAGCCAGGCAGATCTGAGTAAAAACATTACATACTGTAGATCTTTTGAGTCTCTACGTAGGTTTAGATCAGTAGCATAATTTAATATCTATTTATTTTTTTAAAGTGTGATTTCAAGCTCATTTTTCAGCCTGTTTCAGTGGTTACACCTTCATGTCTCACTAAGCAAATTTTAAAAGTAGGAAAATCTATAGTGAATCTAATGTTTTAGTACTTTCTCCATTTATTTTCCTATATGGCTAGAAGAAACAATTCGGAAACATTTTTCCTTTTGGTTAATTATAGTTTTCATTTATATGAACCAAGAAACGTATTAATATTAACTGGGTGACTAGTTAGAATACATTTTGATTATTGTAATTTTATGATTTCAAACCTGCGTCTTATAAAAATTATAATATTTTTTCTTTCTTTCTCCTCCCCTTCCTTTTCCTTGTCTTTCTTCCACAGAAGTTTTGATGTTGGATTACATAGGTTCCTTATTAGGTAAGTCAAAATGTTTTGTTATATCATTCCTGATTAAGGCCTACAGTCCAATGAGTTATTTCTTTTTTTTAATCATACTTCCTAGATCGTTTGTAGTACTGTTGAAGTGATCCAGTATTTGAGTTCTGTTTTATTGATTTACTTTTGTCACTGCCCAACTCCAAATGACTTTGCTAAAGTTATGGAGGGATTTCCTATTTAACAAATAGGATGAATTAAAACCCAAGATTTTATGAGCAGGACTGTGCTCCCTCCAACCTCAAAAATGGTTCTGGTGGTATGGAGAATGTTCTGAGTAAACTTTCAAAGTTCTTGACATTGACTTTTTCCTGGCCCCTAGTTCTTCTAATAAAAAGGGTTTGTTCAGCAGAAACATTTCATCCTCTATGTCAAAAAAAACCATGTAAAATGATTTAGTAGTACAACTAGAAAACAGGACCTGAATACAAATTGTTTAGCATACTCCACCAGACATCAACTTAATTTATAGGCTCTACAATACATGAGACCATGATTTATTTATTTAAACTTTATTTGATGCTAAGTACACTATTTCATTGGCAGACTGATAGAATAAATATAGAAACGTGATTTTTTCTCAATATAAATATAAAAATTCATGCACAGAAGTGAATATATGTAGCTCAGGGTTGATATACTATAGAGTCTTTGGTGCTCTCTCAGCTTGCTTTCTTGCAGACATTTCATTACCCAACTAGGAAACTTCATCAATGTATTATGATGTTATTAGTCCATGAGACATTTCATTGGTGTAATGAAATGTCTGTAAGCAGACAACCAAGCTCATAATTCATCAAGGATTGCATAATATAATTTCTCAGTTTTCTAGAAGATGGGACAAAAAGAAGAATAAGCAATTATGGCCAAATTAGTTCATTTAATATTTATTAATCAAGAAGTAAAATAAATATGATATGAAAGCATGAGAAGCCAACTGGATAACAGTAAAAAAAAAGCTGGGTATATTTTAATGATATACATAGAAATATTAATATGCTAAATAAGAAGATAGCGGATACCTGAGAGAATCCCTGATATTTTTCTGTTTCATTAAACTGCGGTATGGGAAGTCATTTTGCTAATGAGAAGAGAGATTGGTGATTTGCAATCTTGCTTCTGTTCGCATTATTATTATTATACCTTCATGATAATGGGATTTGTGGGAATAGTTTCATCAGGAAAGAAGACACTTCATTGTTCTGATGGGTAAGAGGTTGGCAAGACTGCAAAGTTGTTTTTTCCCCACCAGAGATTCATATGCAAATATGCTTTTTTTTAAAAAATCCCTGAAACAAGTTCTTAAATCTGTAAAGTTATTTGCCCACCTATTGCTTTTTTGTAAGCCACTGTTTCTCTGTTGTTTGAGGAGAAAAGGAGTAGGGGGAAAAGTGACAGGTTATGCTTTTCTTTTGCACTTTTTTCATCTGGAAAATGATGGTATACTTTATATGCTTTATGATAAGACTATAAGATAAAGCACCTGTTTTATCAGACTTTATTTTTCTTAAATATAGTTCACATTTACATGTTTATAATTTAGTGGATATAGTGTATAGTTTGTTATGGTGTAACAGCCAAGAGGGACACGGTGGCTCAGTGACTAAGATGCTGAGTTTGATGATCAGAAAGGTCAGCAGTTTGGCGGTTAGAATCCTTAGTGCTGCATAATGGAGTGAGCTCCCATTACTTGTCCCAGCTTCTGCCAACCTAGCAATTTGAAAGCATGTAAAAAATGCAAGTAGAAAAATAGGAACCACTTTTGATGGGAAGGTAACAGCGTTCCATGTGCCTTTGGCATTTAGTCATACCGGCCAGATGACCATGGAGAATGTTTTTGGACAGCGCTGGCTCTTTGGCTTTGAAATGGAGATGAGCACCACCACCTAGAGTCGGGAACGACTAGCACATATGTGTTATGGGAACCTTTACCTAACAGCCAAAGGTTGAGTGTGTTACTGTCAATTATTACAACAGTTTACATAAGGTCAGCGAATATAGGTGGGATCACAGCTCTCAGGAGCTTTTATTTTGTGGGAAGTGTTGTATAATTCTGTAAGTATATGAGAAAATAACCTGGACATGTTTTGGCTTAAGAATACTATAACAGGTAAGCAGATTGTAATTAATCAAAATGATAGTGTCTCTCACTTATAAAAATATCTATATCTCAATGAAATAAAGGTTAAGGCTCATGTGGTATCCAACAAACCTTTGGACCTACAGCAACACAATATTTAGTTCTTTTTTCCAGTGTTCTGTACAATTGCCTGCATACAACCATGGCTTCCTGCTGGCTGTTGACATACCCATGCAGATACCTAAACACATTGTCCTAGCCATCTGATCAGAGAAACTGAGATTAGGAATAAGTTGCATTTTCTATTGGAAAATATTGTATAGAAGAAAGAAGGGTTCTTGGACTGGCCTTGGGAGTGATGCCTTAAAGTAGAGTAACTCTGGAAAGTGGTAGAGGTGTCTAATGGCTAATATGTCACCACAATACAAAAAAGATTTTGAGACTGTGGGAAGAATGCAGAGAAGAGCAACAAAAATGATTAAGGATTTTCAGAACATGAAGAATAGTTACAGGAATTGGATATGTCTAGTTTAGTGAAAATAAAGAATAAGGGAGACATGATAGCAGTACTCCAATATTTGAGGGGCTGCTATAAAGATGAGGAGGGTCGTCAAACTATTTTCCAAAACAACAAAAGGCATGATAAGAAACAATGATTGGATACTAACCAAGGAAATAAGCAACCTAGAACTAAGTAGAAATTTCTTAACAGTGAGAGAAATCAACCAATGGAACAGCTTTGCTTTCAGACATTGTGAGTACTCCATCACTGAAGGCTTTGAAAAAGAGACTGGACAACTATTTGTCTGAAATGGTATAGGTTCTCCTGCTTAAGTGGGAGGTTGGAATAGAAGACCTCTGAGGTCCCTTCCAACTCTTATTATTCTCTGTTCTATGTTCACCAAGAGCCGTGGTGGTGAGCAGTGAGTTAGCCCTGCAGTACTCATTCCAGGAGTTTGTGATTCAAGGTTGACTCAGCCTTACATCCTTCTGGGTCAGTAAAATGAGAACCCAGATGGTTGGGGGCAATAGGCTGACTCTGTAAAACCCTCAGACAGGGTTTTAAAACACTGTGAAACACTGTGTAAGTCTAAGCGCTATTGCTATTGTTAAATAAGTTGGATGTACAGAACAATAACTGATGTAAATTGATGGCTTTGATAAAGCACATAGATGATATGTAAACCTAAGCGGGACTGCTAAACGTTTGCTTTATTCTGGGATGTTGGTTTGAGGGGAGTCTAAAACCTCCAGAGCACAGTCTGGTGAAATGGAGAAAGAAAGAGAGAAGAGCAGTGGTGAAATTCAATTTTTTTTTTACTACCGGTTCTGTAGGCATGGCTTGGTGGGAGTGTCATGGGAAGGATACTGCAAAAATCTCCATTCCCACCCTACTCTGGGGCCAACCAGAGGTGGTATTTGCTGGTTCTCAAATTTTGAACTACTCAAAATTTTTGCTACCGGTTCTCCAGAACCTGCCGAATTTTACCCCTGGAGAAGAAGCTTTGAGACCCTTTACAATGCATCCATGGTCCTCAAAAAAACCTTTACATCCTATAACCATACAGCAAGACTTACCGTATTTTCACGACTATAAGCCGCACTGAAAATCCTAAAATTTGATCCAAAACCGGCAGTGCGGCTTATAG